ATGTGAAGAACATCCTTAATAAATTTTAGTTCTTGGGTGCCTGGGTGGCTCAGTCAGTTAAGTGTCCGACTCTTGGTTTCGGCTCAGGTCATGATCTCAGGGTCATGGGATCGAGCCTGGTGTCAGACTCTGCACTCAGCTTGCAGTCTGCTTGAGACTCTCTCTCTGTCCCCCGGCTCGTTCTCCCTCTCTCTCCTCCTCTCTCTCAAAGGAATATATAAATCTCTAAAAAAGCGAAGTTTAGTTCTGAATACTTTATAGATTCTGTTACTGTTGTGATAGTTTGTTTTTTATAGCTTCGAGCTGATTATTGCCAGTACCAAGAAAAGCGAGTGGCATTTATAAGCGTTTCTAGCATCCGGCAAAGTCCCTGGCTCTCCTCTTGGTTCCAATGGTTTGCTTATTGCCTCTGCTAGATTTTCCACATATGTAATTACACTGTCACATAATTATCTTTTCCTTTCCCGTCTTACTGCTTCTTTCATTTTCTTATCTTAGTGCGTTGGCCAGGATCACCAGTGCCACCGTGATGACCATCCCGTCCTAGTCCCATCTTTACACATAAGGCTTTTTCAAGTTCAGGATGCTGTTTTCTGAAGTTTTTAAAAGCTGATATTATGCATTACACTCTGTGCATTTTCCTATTTCTAATCAAAGAAGCGTGCGGGTCTTTGTGAATCCACTAGCGCAATTAATAATATGGGTAGACTTTCTGATGATAAACCATTTGAATTGGTAGAAATGGTCTCAGCTGCGTGTCAAAGAATACCAGCAAAGCTTTCTTAAAACCCAAGGGCATTAACTTTTTTTTTTAAGTTTATTTATTTAAATAATCGCTATGCTCAGTGTGGGGCTCATGACCCCAAGATCAAGAGTTGCATGCTCCTCTGACTGAGCCAGCTGCTGGTGCCTGCTACGGCCATTAACTTCTCAACCAGCAGAGAGATGGGCCCTCCCAGGCTGGTCTGGTAGCTCAGTGGCGTCATTCAGTAGGAAGGAGCCCATCCTTCTAATGGGCCATCTCTGGCACACTGGCCTTCTGTCCTCAGCCCAGTCACCTCATGGTGGCAACATGGCTGCCACCTCAAAGGCATGAATCCTGTGGTAGAAGGAAATGAGCTGGAGCAAAAGCACAAAACTACTTTACCTTAGGTGACTCTCCTTTTACCAGCAAAGGACAGACTTTGCCGGCAGCCCTGGCCCCTGGCAGACTTCTAGTGACCTTGATTAGAAATGGATCATGGTGCTTCTGGCTGGGCACATGTGGCTGCCCTCAACAAGATGGGGTTCCATTGGGAGGAAAAAATGCACGTCACCCCTGCATTTGTGGGACACGCTGGATGTAATTAGGCTGGATGGTTTCTTTTGCAGTCAACTTTTGGATGTGGTTGGACCGTATTGTATGTAGGATGTTTATGTTTATGTTCATAAGTGAATGAGACCTGTGTTTTCATTTTCTTGTGGTGTCCTTCGCTGAAGTCAGAACTTCCTAAAATGAGTTCGCTTGCCTTCTTTTTCTGTTTTGGGGAAGAACTTGTGGGAAATTAGATGATCCAAAGGAACGTTTGGTAGAAATCACCTATAAAGCCTCCGGGGCATCAGTAGGTGGAGGGGGGGTCTTTTGTTACATGGACATCACTAGCTGAGCTTTGTAACTGCTTCTCTCTACTTGTACTGATATCACCCCTCCCCGCCTTTTACATATAAAGTGGCACTTATTTTTAGTAACGAATGAATAAAATGAATTGAAAAACCCAGCCTTGGGATAAAGCGACGAGAATCTCCTGTTTCAGTTTCTTGTCCAACAAAGGCTCTCCCCATGTTTACAACGATGTGGCTAAAAAAATTAACAGTCAAATGCAGGTATATGTGTTCTCTGCTTTTCGACCATAGGGAGAAACTCAATGTAACTTTGATCATACCTTCCCTTTAAAAATCAGTTTTACATGCTATTAAATAGAAAGGATCAAACAAGGGGGCGCCTGGCTGGCTCAGTAGGTGGAGCGTGTGACCCTTGATCTCGTGGTCATGAGTTTGAGCCCACACTGGGGGTAGAGATTCCTTAAAAATAAAATCTTTAGGTTGTGCGTGGGTGGCTCAGTTGGTTAAGCTTCTGACTCTTGATTTTGGCTCAGGTCATGATCTCAGGGTCATGAGATTGAGCCCCATGTCAGGCTCCATGCTGGGTGTGAAGCCCACTTAAGATTCTCCCTCTCCTCCCTCTCTCTAAAATCTTAGGAGATGCCTGGGTGGCCCAGTTGGTTGAGCATCTGCCTTCAGCTCAGGTCAGGATCTCAGGGTCCTGGGATCGAGTCCCACATCGGGCTCCCTTCTCCACGGAAAGCCTGCTTCTCCTTCTCCCTCTGCTACTCCCCCTGCTTGTGCTCCCTCCCTCTCTCTCTCTCTCTCAAATAAATAAATAAAATCTTTTAAAAATAAACTAAAAAAAGAGAAAGGATCAAATGATCAGTAAAATAAATGTCTTCTGTAGAAACTGGTTGCATTTAATCAAAATGTGACATGTTATCTAATTCATTTAATACAGAGACAGCTTTCAAAGGCATGACAGTGGTCAGTCCTGATGGGCGTGAATGGATCTGCCTTTATGTTGCTTCAGTTCAAATGAGTAGAATTGAATTTTTTTTAAAGATTTTATTTATTTATTTGACAGAGTGAGCCCCCAGGCGCCCCCAGGCGCCCCCAGAGTAGAACTGAATCCTTCACAGTCAACTATAGGCCCGCTGTTTTGCCATCGCTGATGTGGAGTAGAGTATTGGCAGGAGAAACGTTCATGATGACTAGTTCTCTCCTAACAAAGAATATCAAATGAAGGGTCTTTTTCATGATCTCATCACGGGACCGAGGGGACTTTTGGAAGGAAAATATAGTTGGGCAAGACAAAAACCTTCCCAAGAACATGGCCTGTGTGTCAGAAGTGTGTGCCCATAATTGTAAGGAGAAGGCGAGGATGCGAACGTGGAAGGAAAATAGGAATTGTGTCTGTTTTTTTTTTTTAAGATTTTATTTATTTATTTGACAGAGACACAGCGAGAGCAGGAACACAAGCAGGGGGAGTGGGAGAGGGAGAAGCAGGCTTCCCGCTGAGCAGGGAGCCCGACGTGGGACTCGATCCCAGGACCCTGGGATCATGACCTGAGCCGAAGGCCGACGCTTAACGACTGAGCCACCCAGGCACGCAGGAATTGTGTCTGTTTTGTATTTTTCACAACCATCATTCCTTACAGAAATGGACAAGACCCTCAAAACCTGAGCTGGGGCGTGAGCGAGCAAACAGTCCCTGTAAATATTTAAAGGAGCCTCTTGAGCATTAGAACACTGAGGTCTATGCTCTTGAGTGTGGTCCTCTGTGGCGCACTGAAAGAGTAGGTCTTATTTTTATTATTATTTTTTCAACTTTTAGAAATGGAGTTGTAATTTATACACAGAGAAGCGCACCCATGGCTTTTTTTAAAAAGTCGAGTTCCACTTACTTCTAATACAAGTAGAGTAGATACTGCGTGTTCACGGAAGAAGATCCCCAGTGGGTAAGAGTCCACCGAGGCTTCTCGCACCTTTTCCCTGTGAGGACGGCCCCCTCTTGGGGTTGGGGAGGAAACGGGCGTTCCTAGTGGTGGCTCTCCTCGGACTCTGAACCATGTTCTCCGGGGCTTCCAGAACCATCGGCAGGATCTGCGTGGCAGCAGTCATGGTCCAAACAGCCCTCTCTTTCTGGAGCCAAGCCCACGATGTTCTAGAACGTTCCCTGGAATGCACTGTCTGTTCTCAGAGGAGAACTTACAGGAGACCTGGAATCAGGTAGCCAGAGTACATTCCTCCTCTCCTGCACCGGTGAGTCCCCCAGACTTTGTAGCCACGTGAGTAAAGAGGTCACGTCCTGGGGAGGGTGCAGGTGTCCTCCTGGGCCGGGGGGACCCCTGGCTGTGTCGGCTGCCCCAGATCCCCCCTCCTCTGCCTTCCCTCTCAACTCTACCTCCCCCATCTCTGTCTCTCTCATTTCTGCCCCTCCCTGCGGAATATTCTTAGTATGGAGTCTTCCCCGTTTTCATCTCTCTCCCAAGGAACCAGTGGCCCTCCTGCTCAGGTCTGCGTTCCCCTCCGACACCAGGACCACTGCCCCCCCCCCAGGCATCTCTCCCCGCTCCCCATCGGTGCTGTTACCCTCGGGGAGGCGCCCAGCAGCTCAGGTGCCCCCCCCCCAACCTCGTGAGCCTTGAATGGTTTCCAGGAACAGAGGAGATGTGCCAGCGGCTCTGGGTTTGTCATTTGCTTGCCTTTGGGTTTATGGTTTGGACCCTACAGAAATATCTTATGGTTTTTCTTTATGGTCTCTGATTTGGGTCTGCAGGGGAGGGAAGAAAGGGGCCTTCTTCCCTCCAAGATAAAGAATATGCTGCTGCCAGCTTTACTGTAGGACTTTCTTGATTTCATTTTATATTCAGATTATCTGGCCCACCGAGCAGCAGTCAGGAGCTGAGGGTCTGGTGGTTATTTTGATGATGGGTTTTCTAGTTGTCCCAACGGGATTTATGTGATTAAGGCTTATTTTCTATATTAATGTACTATTTTATCTTCAGATTCTCTTATACTGAACAAAAACAGCTCAACCCTCTTCGTCAGCATGAGTAAATCAACGTAACAAGATAGCTTTCACCCGCGGGTTTGGCAAAAATTGTCAAGCTTGATGCTATTCTGTCCTGGGGAGCGCGCGAGGAAGACAAGCATTCTCGTACTCCGTTGGCGTGAATGGTATAAGCGGGTACCTGTTTTTTTTTGGAGAACAGTTGGGCAAAAGGCACCAACGTTTTTCGGGGCTTTGTTTTTTTAACGCATTAACTTTCTGTCTCTGCTGTTTCCCTGCTAGGAATTTGCCCTCTGGATACATTTGCAAAAGCAGAGCAAAGAGGAATGCATAAATTTGTTCACGCCGCAGAGCAGGTGATCGCAGAACCCAGAATGGTCCGCATCTTCAGTGTCTACCCGTCCGGGCGGGATCCCTTACCTGGGACGCTTGCGTACCACGGAGCACCGCGCAGCATCTCAGGAGAATGAGGGGCCCCGGGGGCGCGGGCCACACACTGCGCCACAGACCAGGTGAGCAGTTGCAGGAAGTTAACGTTCGGTTGCTTCTGTATCCATGTTCGGTCTAGAAAGATGCACATCTGGGGCGCCTGGGGGGCTCAGTCGTTAAGCGTCTGCCTTCGGCTCAGGTCATGATCTCAGGGTCCTGGGATCGAGCCCCGCATCGGGCTCCCGGCTCAGCGGGAAGCCTGCTTCTCCCCCTCCCTCTGCCTCTCTCCCTGCTTGTGTTCTCTTTCTCTCTCAAATAAAAAAAATCTTAAAAAAAAAAAAAAAGGAAAGATGCACATTTAACAGAAGCTGTTAACCTTTGGGGAGAGGAACTGGGTGGGAAGAGGCATGATGTGATTTTGCATTTTTTCGTATAGTCGGCTCACGATGTTACATTGGTGTCAGGTGTAACACCTAGCGATTCAACAAGAAAGGTTTGAGTTTCATCATGTCTATTCTGGACTTTTCTGTGTTTTAGTGATGGCGTGTGTTTATTTTTTTGAAGAGACACATTATTATTCCATTACAAATGCTGAAACATTGGGACAGGTAGGTTGTCATGACTGGAAGGAAAACAGAAGAATTGCAGGTTTGGGGTAACGGTTACCGCTGAGAAGGGTGAGGGGTAGTCTGTGGGGGGGGGGGGGAGCGAGAGGTTTCCGGGGACGGTAAGAGGCTATTTCTTGGCGTGGATGGTGGGCATGTGTTTATTATTGCTCTTTTAACTGGTACAAATGTTTTCTATACATACTTGTACATAGTATACACTTTATAATTTTAACAGAAGGCCCTATTAGGTGGGGCAGTAACTACCCTCAGGTTTTAGGTTGGCTTAACTTGACCTTGAGGCCATTCATTCGCTCTTCTATTTCAGACTTTCCTTTGCACTCCGCAGGCCCCTGCTTTATGTCTTTTTAGTTTCCGGCCTTCCCCTGTCTCCCTTAGTACTTTGCTCTCAATGCCACCAACCTGTGAACCTCTCCCAGTAATGTCCCTCCTTGGTCCTGAAAGGCAGGAAAATGCTGTATTCTGGGAGCAAATGGCTCAGACCTGCGCAAGAGTGGACTTATGAATTCATGAATTACCTACGCTTTTATCAAAGACCTGCCATCTGCCAAGCTGCCCACTAAGTTCTGGGGATGGCAGGGGGAGCTGCCTAGGCCGGTCTGGCCGGCACTGATGGGCGGAGGGAGGGCGCTGCGGGCCGGGCAGACTGGGGAGGGGTCTGCAGGCCCACGGTGGGGGGAGAGGGAGAATCCATGTAATAACGTTTGCCATCCCTACATATAAAGGACAGCATGCATTGCTTTTTTATTGTCAGGAGAATCTTTCTGGGTATTGTGTTATGGGGCACTTTTGTTTTCTTTATGCTAGTTTGCTTTTTTTAATGCTACTACTTTTAAGTCAAAGGAGACTTTGTTGGAAAGATGCAGAGGTGACTCGTTCAAAGGAAGTGCTGAACCACCAGCCTGCAGGTGTCAGTGAGCGTAGCCTGGTCAGGGGTGGGGAGGCCCAAGGCCTTCTCTGGTCTGTGCGTCCCCGGTGCGTTGTCTGTCTCCCCGCGTGGCGACCAGCTGCCCCATGCCCCCGCGTGTAAGCGTCCTGCGTGTAAGCGTCAGTGCCCCCAGCAGAGCACACCCTGCTTCCTGAGTCATTGCCGGACAACACTGTCAGGGAAGGATTTCCTCAGGCTGGGCTTGGGTTGGTGTCCTCCCCTGGACCCATCAACCCTGGCCAGAGGGTGGGCGTCTCTAAGTACCTGGTAGATCCTCTGGGGTCCCCTGGTTGGAGAAGGGACGGCGCTGGGAAGATGTTCCTTCATTTGCACTGACTTATCTGTTCAGTGTTTGTCGAGTGCTTCTGATGTGTGAGGCTCTGGCACTTGTGCTCTGAACACAGTAAACCAGCAAGGTCTCAGCGATCAGAGAACGTGGGTGCTAGTGAGGGGGGACAGTGTAGGAACCGAGGTCGGCCAGGCACTGCCTGGCTCAGCTGAACCCACTCTCCCTGTTGACAGAAGGAAGGGGGCCTCTTTCTGTTGTGTGCAGAGGGGGCCTCATCAGACCAGCTTGGGGATCTCCACCGTGAGCGGACCGATGGCTAAGAATCCAGCCAGGCCACGGAGGGCGGCCGCTGTTCCAAGAGGGTGAAGGAAGTAGTTGCCTGTTAGGGTGCGATCTTTGGGTCCAGTCTGGAAGTCAAGGTGTCCCCAGGAACAAATCTGTCAGGCTTTGGGGTGTTCATGATAGAAACACAAAGCCCAGGCCTGACTCAGGTGCCTGACCCCACGCACTGAGCAGGAAGCTTGGTGCCTCCGGCAGTTACCACCCTGAGCAAACCTGGAGAAAGACAGGCTCAGCTCTGCACCCGCACCAGCTTCGCAGCCGCACCACCTCCACACCCAGGCCCCAGCTCCGCACCCGCACCAGCTCTGCGCCCAGCCCCGCGCCCAGCC